AACATAAACATAAGTAGGTTTATTTTAAATCACAGTTACTCTGTATTGCTCATTTTATGTTGCATAAATGCTATTATTTAAATAAAGCAATAAGAGTAACAAAAAAAAAAAGTAAAGGTGAACATTAACATGTCCTTAGTGTTTAAAAATTTTAGTTTATATTATCAAATTTCTACTTGCAAGTGTCTTTTTGGGGTAGATATACTTAAAAAAAATAAAAAATCAACTGCCACTGAGTTAATTCTGACTCATCATGACTCTATAGGACAGGAGAATTGCTCCTTAGGCTTTCCGGGACCATAAATCTTCACAGGAACAAAAAGCCTCATTTTTCTCCTGCTGAACAGCTGGTGAGTTTGAACTGTCAATCTTGCTATAGCAGCCCAAACTTAACCAGCAGAGCCACTGGACTTAGGGCTTTATTACACAAACAATTAAGATGTTTATTAGAAGCTCTTCAAAAGAGTTTAACAAACAATATTTAGCACTGATTTTACACAACAGGTAACGCACAATAGCACCATGTTTAATTTAATACTAAAGGTTACTTTTTGATTAACATTTGATTTACCTGTAGTGTTTCTCTGCTAACATACGCAATTTGTAGTTCTGACAGAGGTCCAGTTACTATAGGAGAAGAAAAGTAAATTTAATAAAATTAGTCGATGCATATTTTTCAGGAAGTGACATGGCTTTACAAGTTCGGTTTTGTAACAGATTCCATTTCTTGAAACAATTCTACTAGAATGTAAGTTTCAACCGGAGAACTTGGGTCTAATTGTGCTCATTGCCTTGCCTCATGCCCAGTGTTCACCACAGTGCCTGGTACAGAAGGTCTACTAACAACTACTGGAGAACGACTGAAAGAAGTCACTGAAATGGATCGTATTTTCAATTTCACAACTCACCGATCAACATGACATCTTAAATGTTGAGAGGGTATGTTCATAGATGAGGGTTGGCTAGTTTTTAGTAAAGCTTTCACTTGATTGTGTAACATGTTATTGCTACTTTATAATCAATACAGTTTTCCCAGCAGGTATTAATTTTAGATAGAAAATGAATGTGTTCACTGTAAAAAATTCCAATCAAGGAGGTCTGAAAAATATAGTTCTCTCTCATCTGAACACACACACACACAAATATAGACATAATTGGAATTATATTACACATGAAGTTCTAAAACCTGCCTTTGCCACTTACCATCAACATACTTATGTAGTTCAATCTTATCCTGATATTTGAATATTACTTCCTTTTGTGTGTATCTAACCATTTGAAAAACCTTCTAAGCTTCTTTTTCTTTTTCACTACTAAATTACTTTAAAATAAAGAAATGACATTAAGTGGTCGAGACTATTCTAGATATTGAATTCAATTCCAAAAGACAATCCTTTCAAATGGAACAGCTTTGGTAAAACATTTACTTTTGAATTCTTGTGGTATTAAACTTTTAAATATAGAGCCAGGCTCATAAACTGTAAGAGACTTTCCAAGGACCAAAAGCAAAGAGGGAAATGAAGAACCAGAAACAGCAATGTGAGAGCATATTCTAGCTGTGTGTTAGATGAAAGTCAACCACAGTGTGTCAAGGCTTTGGCTTTTAGTATCCAAATGGACACGGAAGGCAAGGCCCTAGGGCTGTACAGGCAGCTAAAATAGCCTTTCTTAGAAATCAGAACCCTCAAAGAGCTACTCGCTCCTTAACCGAACAAACAGAGGGGATCCCGACTAAGGACCATGGCTCTCCTGGCATGTGAAATGGGTAGAGGAAAGGAAGGCTCAGAGCTTGCTACCACAGGCTCCGTCATTCCAGTTTAGGGTACAAATATATATTGGAAACCTTGAGATTACTGAGATGGACAGGGGGAGATTCTGGAAGGGCACACCAATAAAATCCATAGTTTCTCATGTTCAAGTGCTGGCTATTTGGTCTCACATATTTAATTATTTAAGGGAGCACAGCATTCAAGGGTAATATGTTTCTTTTATTAGCCAATCTATTACCTGCCATAAATGTCATACTATGGGGAAAATATAAAGATAACATTCAACAGAAAAATGTTCAATAAAAGAGAGGAGAAATGCCCTATGTCATGTTGACACAGTAAGAGCGAGTTTGTCTAAGAAACAGTAAAAGAAAAAGCATGAAGCCGGGAAATGGAGCTCATGAACAAAGTCCGCCTTCAACATGTCTCTCCCAGGAAGCAGGCTACCAAGGCAGGCCCACCACTCGGTTAGTTCTCCTTTAGGAGGTAGAACTTAATGTATCCTTTTGTCAACGGTTTTATTGGCACATAACTCATATACCTTACAAATGAGTATTCAAGCATTCAATTTTATCAAGGGGAATTGTACAAGCATCACCACATCTATCTTAAGAGCATCCCCACCCCCATGGTTGAATTGCCTTCAATATGAGTTATGCGATATCCTCTTTTTAAAAGAAATATTTTAGGTGAAAATTTACTTAGCAAATTAGGTTCCCTTTTAATAGTTTTTATCCAAGTTGTTCCATTACATTAGTTACATCTTATAAATTATATTGTCAGCACTCTCATGACTCTGATTTTATGTTTCCATTGGTCAGGCTTCCCTGCCCCTCCCAAAGGGGCCCTGGTGATGTAGGGAGTTAAGCACTGGGCTGCCAATCACAAGGTCAATGGTTCAGACCCACCAGCTGCTCCACAAGAGAAAGACGCGACAATCTCCAGCAGTGACGATTCACAGCCTCAGAAACCTTACACAGTTCTACTCTGTCCCAAAAGGGCTGCCGAGTTGGAAAAGAGTCAGTGGCAGTGGGTTCCGTTGGCAAGTTTCCCTGCCCCTACTTAGCATCCCATCTTTGTCTTTGGGTGGATATTGACCACGTGGCCTCACGTATTTAATAATTTGAGGGAGCACTTAATTCCCAGATAATACTGTTTCTTTTATAAGCCCGTCTATTATCTGCACAAAAGGTGACTGACATGGGGGCGGGGGGACCCTCTAGTGATTTGCTCCTGGACACAGAATCTGGCACAAGTGACAATGCAGAGCTTCTAAGACGGCTTCCTGCGTGCTCTCTCCCTGGTCCCACTTGCTCTGCAGGGAGCTGCTCTCCTTGGCACACTCAGGCTGTTCCACTGAGAGGTTTACCGAGTGAGCACTGCAGCGTGCTGCCAACCACCATGGGAGTGAACCAGAGCGCCTGTCTTCAGAGGACT